GAAACAGCTAACTTTTTTTTTTTGTGACTGTCTTGTGTATATTTTGGCCCCAGGGCTGGCTCTGACATTATAAGAACATAATATTGCCAGTGTGTTTGTGACTGGTTGGAGAGTATCAGCTGCTACCAAAAAAATCCATGTACACTGAATTCTGCAAGAGTAGTGTTTAAGTAGTCTGAATTTACAATCTCTATCTTCTATTCAGCAATTTAGATAGGAAATTAAAACTTAAGGTGGGGATAGAGAACATGGTGACATTTCCTGACAAGATGTTATTTCCTTAGTCTCAATAAATGGAGGCTGAGGGTCACCTGTAGCACAAACTGCCCACTTACCAAATTACAGCCAAAACAATGGAACTGGCCTGTGGTCTCCTCCCCGTGCTGGAATCTGTTAGATATTGCCTCCTTTACCCACAATGATTTTCAAATTCTGCTTGTGCTTTTAAAACAGCTCTCTATGTAAATTGTCTACATTGAGTGTATGAGATGGTGTGGTTTATTTTAAATTACACTATTTCAAATTTTTCAAATTTTGATGGCCTAATTAGTTACTTTATGATGCAGCATGATTGATAATGATCAGAAAACAGAAGCAGCAAATTATAAAAATGAGAAGAGCACCTGACAATTCTCATGTAAGTGCTGCTACTATATTGAAGAAAGAGGGTTTTCAAGGGGAAGGTTTCTACAAATTAAAATACGAGGATTTGGCTCACAAGGAAAGAAAACACCTTTTTGTTGTTTGGGTTTTTTTTTTTAACAGAAGCAAGTATGAAACCTGGGGAGATGAAAAGAGAATAAGACAACACAAATCTATTGTTAGTTGGAAGACAGCATTAGAATGTCCCTGCCTAAGTAACTTTTCCCTCTGCAAAATTTCTTGGCAGGCTTTCTCCACTCTAAGGCTGTGTTTATACTTGTAAATTAAACATATCTGGAAATCTGCTTGGACACAAATAGCCCTCATCTCTGCTAGTAAATTCTCTTATCTTCCAAAACAAGGCAGTAGGACAGAAACTGCTTGAGAACTGACCTTAGAAGGAGTCCTCACACCAGACAGGGAAGGTGCCTCACAAAGTGCTGATTGTCACAGCCAAGTCCCTGCCAGGTGCTGTTGTCACAGTAACTAATAACAGGCAGCCACACTGAATTTGCTGCTATCACAAAGCTTGAGACTCACAGTTATTCTGACACCCATAAAGGGCTGAATATGATAAAAGAGGTTTTCTGCCCTGCCTCCATCAAAATGACTGGGTTTGCATCTTTGTTGAATAATAAGACCCATGTCAAAAGCAACAGCAGCATAAAGCTCACCAGAATTGGATTGTGCTCAGGTGAAATTACTGAAAAAATTATCCAGGATAGAATCTGTAGGGGCTAAAAATAAAAGGAAATAGGAGGATGAGGTGGGTGAAGGGAACTAGGCACTGGGATTGGTAAGGAACAGTTAATCACAAAGCTGAAGGAGAATAAAGGAGAAAAGAAAAAAGTAAATTCTGATGGAAATTAGAAGACCTGAAAATTAATATAAATAGAACTTTTTTTGATAGCCCATATCCGCTTCATCCCTTAAAATTCTGCAGAATTAGAATTGACTGATTTTTCACATCCTTGTATTTGAAGCATTTAATTATCAAAGCCAAACATTACTTTTGGCCCAGTGCAAATCTCATATCTGAATTTAATATGGTAATAAAGCTTTAAAATCAGAAACTGCTTTGCTTAAAATAAAATATGTTTAAAAAAACCAAAAATATGTTAAAAAAAAACAAACAGTACCTCCACAAAAAACCCCAACAAATAACCCCATGTTGGAACAATGATTTCATAATACACGTGCTTTCCAAGATAATTTTGTTTTCAGTACATTGTAAATAAAGGGAGGTTTTGTTTTTGGTTTTGGGTTTTTTTTGTTTTTTTGTGAAAGAAGCAAAGAATAAATTCAAATATGAGTTGCTAATATGCCGCAGCATAAAAAAGGTAGGAAGGGCTGTGTGGAGAGGCATCATGTCTCTGAGCAAGGAAATGGTAGTTTATTGTCTAAGAATTACTGTCTTCTACTTTCTGGAATGTATATTTCTGTAATCTGGGCAGCAAAACTTCATTTGCTGTTTTTCATTTTATTTTCTCTCAGCTTACATGTTAACAAAATATCTCTTTTATTTGAAAGTTTTCCATTAGTCAGCATTTAACAAGTAAAGTAAGGATTGATACAGAGTCTTCATAATAAATTCAAACATACTGAAACAGTGTATTTCTATTTTTAAAATACCAGCTGCTAAGATAAGGAGAGAATATTTTCTGATGTTCTGGAGAAAGTGAGGCTTAGGGAAGGAAAGTACTATGTAAGTAAAAACATGAAGCAACAGTTTGAAAGGTATGCATAATTAATCATGGAAATTCTACAGAAAACTGTTTAATTTCAGTGAGGGAACACAAAATTAAGACTAAGTGAAGCTTTTTAAGTACACATGAATTAAAAAGGTTTGCATGTGGTACAGAAAGGGAACTCTGCCTTCCTGTCTGGCACTGGGGGGGTTATTTCCCGAGTACCTTAACTGATGTCACCCACTGTATTAAATGGGGCCTGGCCTCTGGGTCAAGGGTGAAACTATGAATGAGGAATAAATCGTTGATTTCTGCCTTGCCAAATGCACTGAATATACTTGTGCTGCTTTTCTTTTATCTGTAAATAATAATTGGAGGAAATGTGTCAGTGCTCTTCTTGGGTAATACTTTTTTCAGCCTCTTTAAGTACTGTTGTAATGCAGGTCAGAACCAGTGCATTTATCCTTAGTCAATGTATAGCAGTAGTTCTCCTTCATATTTGCATTTGTATTTACATCCAGATGTTATATGGTCACAAAACAGGTGATTTTTATCAGTTTGGAAAATAGAGGAGAGGGCTGTGTGTAAGTAGACATAGACTTGACATTGTTCTCCAAGTATATAAGTGCCAACCAGTGCCTCTTGTGTTACTGATTTTATATTCTCAGTTAAATATATCGAGTTCCTAACGAAATCACTGGGAATGACTCATTTGTATACACAAAGTGAAATGGGACATTTTGCTCTTAGGTGAGGTTTCAAAATGTAACTCAGAGCTTCACGAATATCAGTTAAAAAAAGAAAAATACCTTCAAGTAATGTGGCTTTTGATTCTCTGTTATATTGTTAGAAATCTCTTGGTCCATTTATACACTACCTACAATTGACAGAATGTCCACTTTATGATTAAAACAGTATGTAAACTATCTGCTTAACTGTATCCAAGGGCAGATGTATACCACTCAGTGGTAAGGCATTGCAGACTCCTGTCATCTTTTCTTCTAAAACATCTTTTAGGCCTTTAGCCCTTTGATAAATTGACTGACAAATTCTTTTGATGGCGTGAACTCCTTTAACAACAGATAATAACATTATTTTAAACAGAACCTGCCCAAAAAAGGTATTTCTCCTCATTTCAAAGTGGAAAATATTGTTTTGGTGTTTAGCTGTACATCTGACGGGGAAAAGACGTATGTCCTGCCCTGATCCATTCAATAGTGTGCAAAGCTCTCTGTTTCCTGCTTCCTCCCCAGAGTTTCTGTAGCATGGGTTTTTTGTTTATTAAAGCCTAGGAGGGCAATGAAATAATATACACAATAATTGAATAGTGTCTGTTTTTCATGTAAGAGGTTTCCATCAAAACTTAATTTTAAACATAAAATTTGGCAATGCATCCCACTGAGCAATGTTTGGAATGCATGCTACAGCAGCACAGAGTAAACAGTATCACCCATACTCTTATGCAACACAAAATTCCTGCTGGGAGCTCCTTGGCATGGTAACTGGTGTCTGGGGCACAACACATTACTACTTTTCTTCTTGGGGTAAGCCCAGCTACTCCAAGCTGCAAGAAGGAATAAAGCCATTTATTAATTACTGATCTGCTCAATAAAGAAACAGGAAGCAAACAAACTGCATTTGAAAGCTCAGTGACAGACTAAAGTTCTGACACCCTCATGGCAGGGGAAGAAGTCAACTGTAATCTAGTCCCTGGCTGCAAGTCAGTCATCCTATTGTCTGTTTAATTCAACTTTATTATAGAACAGTTGAATAATCTGAGATAAATGCAAGCACTAAGGAGGCTGACTCCACATCCTGCTATCTTTATGTTTACATAAAGTTGTTTTGTATGCATGATGCATTGATTTCTTTCTTCTTTATTCCTGCATTTGAACAACGTCCACGTCCAGTAACTTTTGGGTCTAGAGACAACCTGTAAATTCTTAACCAGCTTTTTGCGTTTGAAACACATTTCTCAAAATCTGAAGTCTACATATCTGTCTTTGTTAAGAAAGTCTGATGTAGCTCTTGTTATCTGTGGCTCTTTTCCAACAGACCAAAATATTTCAACATCAGTATTAAAGTGAAAAACTAAATATATGTTAAACATAGTTAAATTTCATTTAATCACATGTAAGATTTGCTGGTGATTTCAACCCATGTCCCATATCCAGGTAGTGTTTTAACTTTACACCATGGCTCAGTACTCTGGTTAGGCACACTCAGAGCTGATCTGCTGAAATAGCCTCTGGTACTTAAGGATCTTGGCTTGACTTATCAGTTTGAACTAGGGATCAAAGCAAACTATTTGGCAGTATCATTTCACAGGCAACTTTACAGACACCCCTGTGCAAGCAGTTGAAGTTTAGATCTCAGAATTAGGCAGCAGCTGAGCGATGCTTTTGGAAAGAGGTGTCAGTGATAAAGTTGGGTTCCTTGCCTCATTAAGCACTTCAGTGTCTTCTGGGGACATGTTCTGTCTCCCAGAGTGATCACGTTTTATGACAGCATTTACTCCATTACTGCATGGTACATTTAATCACTGTGCAACAGCAGACATATCCTTCATTATTCAAATACTTGACACAAAACTTGTTGACTGCTCTGAAATATTTTTTCTTGCCCTTCAGGCTGTCTTATTTCTCTGTTCAAGGCTGTACAAGTACTACACTGTTATTGCCAGGCCCGTTTTCTACAAATACATGGGAAGGCACTAATCGTGTCAGCAGCTTGGCTTTCTGGAACTCTCAGCCTCAGCTGCTGTGCTGTTAACTAAGTGTAACCCAGCTGGCCAGCCAGCTTGCTGAGCTCCTGCAAGCTGAACTGCAGATTGTACCCTCAACCTTTTACTGGCTGGCTTAATACAACATTGCAGGGGAGATGGACTGTAATGCAATTATCTTACAAGAAAAACTGAAGACCTAAACATGTCTGCCTCTGCAGGGCAGTGAAATGGAAAATAAAGTGTCAGATGTATTACATCATGATTGTACTTTAAATTGCTGTTGTCAGCAAAATAGTGATTCCAGCCAGATACTCATTGCCATGCAACAGAACACTGCTGGAGTTCTAAGTAGAAAGAATTTTCACATATAGTGTAATGGCTTCCCTCTCTTTTATTCTAAACTTGTATCAGTTAATTTACTGGAAATTTCTTGATACTGAACAGTGTGATGTGCCCAGAAAGCATGCCTTCAAAAAGCTTCCTGGAATAAATGAGCTGACCTCTGCAGTGGGTGCTTTGGATAGCATAAACTAAAACTATGATACCTCAGAGGTAAGTTTAAAAACTTCTGTGAGACAGTATCAATTAAAAATGAACATGTCCATTTTAATACTGATTCAACTACATACTTTTTTTCTACACTGTGTACAAATCAATATGCAAGTTTTATTTCTAGCTTAAACTCTCTTATTTGTTTATGCAGTGATGAAAACCCTGGCTCCCTTTCACTGGTATCTGAATTTATGACCATGACTATTTATGAGCTGATAAAAGGTATGTAGCATATGCTTAAGAAACATAAACTCTCCTTGTGTAGATCACAAAGTGAAGTTAATTGTTTTTCACTTGGTTGTTCACTGTGACAGATTATAGAACTCATAGACAATCTTGTGCTGTACTCCTTTACCCTTTATTTTTTGCAAGGGATTATACCCAATTGTTTAAGCCATGGCTACATGCAGTCCATAGTCATCTATTCTACAGTCAAACAACCTTGACTGAAAAACACAAAATAATTGCTTTCTGTTACAAAACAATAAAATTTAAACAGAATCTTTGTTAGGTCAAGGCTACTGTGAGGTATTAAGAAAATTATTCCCATTTGTTTCAAAACTATTGAATCAACGAATAAAGAATTACAGTTTTTATACCTTGTAAAAAAGCCTTTCAGTAAGTTTTCTTTATAAAATAACATTGTTCCCTCATACCTTCTATATTTAAAAATTCTGGAGCTGTTTGTCAAAGCAGGTCAGAGACCATAAAGCTTAAGGAAGAGTTCCTCCAAAAAAATTAGAACAAAAGCTGATTTAAAACCAGTTCTTACATCAACAGTAAAGGAATTGGATACAGCAAATGAAAGGGCTTACAATTCATTAGTAAAAAAGGATTTTTTGAAATGAATAATTAAGAATTTGTAATGTCTTAACAATTGGGAGTTCAATTTAAATAACTGAACATGCAAGTGTCATTCAGTGTAATACAATAAAGACTCCTGAACATGACATTGGTGACACTGACTATTCAGATCTCTAACAAAAGGAGTAACTCTGTTTCTGACCTAGATAAGAATGTGAGATTAAAATTGAGTTATTTGCTGATTGCTGAAGAAGATATTTGTGTGTACTAGTTTTAATAAGACATTTTGCGTTTGCTATATTTAGCATGGCATTCAGATGGAAATGAAAATCATAATTTCAGTATGTTCTGATTTTTTTTTTACTATTTAAAAATAGTAAAAGTTCTTTCAAAGTTTTCCAGAAGATGATTATTGTTTTCACACCACTTAGTTGTAGTAACCTCCTTTTCTATAACATGGTGAATCAGTTCAAAATGAAATCTGTGTTCAATAGTAATCTGAAATGCTGCAGTTAGGGATTATCTGAACATTCATCTGGGTTTACCAGAACTTCTATAAATTGCTGATTCTTCTTTATGGTCTGAATTTTGAGTGTGGACTGTGTTTACAATGATACAGTGCCTTATTTTTAATGTTGTATAAGGTGGTGACACATGGGGTGGAGCTTGTCAAATCATAGAATATAATAGAAAAGTGAACTGAAGTGGACTGAAAATGAATTTTTAATTTGACAAGAAGTATGGAGACACTTCTGTAATTAGGAGGACAGTTCACTGTAATGCTACTAATGTGGAAAAGTGGTAGTTTTTTCCTTAAAGAACAAGAGATCCATGTTACTTCAATCAAGCTTGTCTTTACACAAAATCATAATTGTCTTACTGTTAATTTATAGCAGAAGCATTTAATAACTGAAAAACAGTCTTGCCCTTTATTTAATCAACAGCAGTTTGGTAATTTAAAGCAATGAAAAAAGTGGCAGAGAGAGAGTTGTGGAGGATCTCTCAAGAGGAATGATAGAAGCCTCAAGTGCCACTGCCTTAGGATTCACTGCACCAATAAGGTTTCTCCAGTGATAAATCTGGAAGTAGAAGAGCATCTGCTCCAGATTTTTCTAGTGACATGTAATGAAAAAGCAATTGAGCATGACTTCTTTTTACGAAGACCCAATTCCTTAAATACAAATCATAATCTAAATTGATTTGAATAGCTGCATTTTATAATATCTTTTCCACTATAAATGACAAAAGTCCTGATGTTGAAAGCACCATTTATCTCTATGGGGGCACTACTACAATTCCCGATGTAAATGGTGCTCTGTTCCAAGTGCTTTGTGATCTAATCCTGCTCAGGGGATTATGTGGCTGCCTGGAGGAGCACTGTAATCAGTTGGGAACACAAGTCCTGCTGGCTCTGGGGCTCTGGCCTCAATGAGTTACTGTCCTGACAATCTCCCTCCTCCTCCCAGCCAATTACTCATACTGCTGTCATCACGCAGATCAGTACCTGCTTTGTTTTTCAAAAATGTGATCATTTCTGCCTCCGTTGATGGCCTTGCAGCATTACATAAAGGCATTACAGCAAGATTAAAAGGCCTTTGGAGCCTATAAAAGAAAAAAGCTGAGCAGTTACTGAATGGCTCTGAAAAATAGATAAATTTTATAACTGTAATTATTGCCTAACAGCAACAGCAAGCTAAACAACATAGGTTGGCCTTGAATTTGCAATTCAGATGTGTATCACAGTCTTTTAACCATTGTGGTAACTGGAGGTGATTGATACAAATCTTCAAACTAAAGGACAATTAATTTGTGTAGAGAGGAAATGAGATATTTATAAGTGAAATACTGCAGTTCTGCTAGAACTTGGGGAAATAGAAATACTGAAATAGAAATACTGCAAGTAATACATGCAGTAAAAACTAAGGCATCGTACAGAGTATTGAATTGACAATTATTACTTGAGCTATTCTGGTGCATATTGAAATATAAATTATGTCAGAAGTTGAGTGGAAAATGAATTACAAAGCTAGCTATAAATGACAGAAGTAGTATAATTGAAAAAGTCGATATCCATGCACCTCTGGAAGCTGAAGACTACAATATTTGTATTCTATTTGTTCTTCACTAAAAAGGACTCACACAACTTGAAGTTCTATTCTAGGAAGGAGAAAGCCATTGCCTGAAAAAAAAACAATCAGGAACAACATGTACCAGATATGCAAATCTGTAGATTGTGTACATAGGTAAAAGACCTGGTTCAAAAACAGCCTTACAGCAAATGTAGCATACATTTATTTCAGGGTCTTCTCTAGGCAGAAACAGAATTGTCTGGGGCAGCTTCTGACTGCTGCAGGGAGAGAAAAGGCCATGGCCCAGATAAATCTTTGCCTGCAGCAGAGCCCTGGGAGGCAGCAGGCAGCCAAAGCTGCTGCCAGCACCCCGAAGGAGTTCTATCCCTGCTGCAGGAAGCCCTCCTGGGAGGGGATGACCCTTGCAATCCTCTGGTAGCCCTGGTGAGAGCAGAAGCAGAAAGCCTGGCCTCTCCTTGGACTTGCCCATTCCCCATTCCCATATCTGCAGCTGTTGTCTCACCATGATGGCAAAATTTAATTTTTTACTGTTATGTTGATAAGTTTGAAAAAAGTGCTGGTTTCTTTAAGTTGTTTTTTATTTAAACAAATAACTGGAAGCACTGATAATGTTTATCTTTTTACTGAATTCTTCTCTCTGCTGCGTTTGTATTAGTAAAGAAATGGGATATTTCAGAGCAACAAGAAAACATAATAATAAAGGTAATTAATTTTATGTGAGGATATTTAACTAAAAGTGAAGTGTATAAGTATTTTTCTCTTTACCCTGAGAAGGTAATATTTATTCATGAATAAAAGGACAGTTTTTTAAGAGATATGTAGACAGTTACTCTATTCCTAGTCTTGTGGAATGAACAATCAATTTTGTTACTGGCTAAAACCTGAAATGACTGAGATGCATTACACCCTGTATGTGTTCCCTCCAAGCTAAAAACCTGTTCTTTATCCTCTATTAATACGTATTTTTCGTTTCTTTGTTAATCTAGGCACAGGAAATAGGGTTCCATTTTGCAGCTCTTTCTTTCTATATTCAATGCCTACATTTAGTGGAAGTTACACGAACAAAAGAGAGCAGAAGATGGTGGCATTCAGAAGATCTAATTGTAATCATCTCTCTTGACAGTTTCATAAAATTATTTTGCTAATGTTTGAAAAGCAAGCATTTCTAAATTCAGTTTATGAAATTTTATTTCCTAAAGATAAATTTTTGAGTCATTGAAGTGTACAGGAGAAGCCAAAGCCACCTGTTTTATCACTGCTAAAGAGAAGAACGCTAATATTAATTAGAAGTCCTATTTATCAGCCTTTCCTTCTGAGATAGTCCCTATGCTCTTAGATCTTCCTTTTTGATGTACAGAACAGTATTTGCATTACATACTATGGACACAGATATCTTCAAGCCTGGACCTACTTAGTATTTTAATGCAGCTTTACTGCTGTGATTCTACCCCTGGATTTTGCAAAGTTTCTTCTTAAAGTAATCTGTGATTTCTTCTACAATTACTATTTTACAGTCATTGCTTGAATATTTTAATGTTTGCAATTTGTGGAAATGCTTTATTTTTGCAGCAGAACACCCTGAAGTTAAGAGATTTTGGACCTTGTAGGAGTATGTATTCTCAGCAGGCACACAGTACCTCCCCGTGCTGGTACTGAGCACCTGAATGTTTGCTAACAAATGGGCTCTATAGTTACAAAATTGGCACGTGGAGTCCTGGCTGTGTTTTCTATGAAATCACAAGGTACTGTGTTCAGTGGAGGGTTTTGCTTATCATTAATCAAGATAATCAAAGGTAAATAACTCAGATTAGGAGCATGTGGTTTGAGTACTATGATCTTCGTTTCCATGGATTTGTAGAAGCTTCTGTGCTTAGGCTGCAGAGTTCATGAGGCAGTAATCCCATCTGGTCTGGCATTCTCTTCACCCTGTGGCAGGTTAGTAATAAAGCAGTTCAGAACACAGTGATTTACAAAGAAACATTTTGGAACATTTTTCCCCAATGGCTTCGTATTTAGTAAAAAAGTATTTTCTCTGTTTGATCTCTGTGTAGAGTATAGCTCATTTCCTCTCATGAGCATCACAAACTATCCTCAGTCTTGTTAATACACTTAATGGTAAAGTGTTTCCCACTTTTTTTGGACTTAGTAGTACTTTCTGCAAAAACAGAGGAGATTAGAAAATCCACTTCCTCTGATTTACAAAATTGATTTACAGTGTAGTGTAAAACCCCTGTGCTCTTAAGATCTTGTGTGCTGATATATTTTGAAATCAGGTTCTAATGAAGAAAGAGTTCAGGAAAAACAAAGTCTTTTAAGATTTTTTGTGATGATGAAACTATAACTCAAAAAATTTGTCACTGGTCTTCAAGAAAAAAGGAAAAATACCCACCATGAGTATTTCTCCAATATCTTTGTGCCCTAGCAACAGCAGCAGTTCTTTATTCTCCTCCCACACTGCTGTCTCTGATATGCAACCAGGACTGATAACATTTGCTTTGCTTCTTTCCTCCTCCACATGGCAAGTGCAGCTGCTGCCATCACCATCACATTAAATGACAACCATTATGCTTTGCCTGCTAACTTGTAGAAACATTTCTACTTCTCCAGCCAGAAAACTGTTAAAAGAAAAATCCCAAATGTGGCAGTACTCTTGCAAAGTAAATTGGGACCAAAAGCTTTAAGAATGTCTCGCTTTTTCATTTCAGCTTGAATCAGCTGGGCTTTGTAGCTTCGTAAGGAAATTACATGCTGCAAACGTAAATTTTTTTTAGGGGAAAAACCCAAACCTTAAAGACATTTCAGTTTAATGTAAAAGATTTCACTTTTTGCAACCACTGAACATTTTCAGAGATTTACAGGTGTGTTCAGAGAGAAAGGAGGGATGTTTATTGGAAATTAATGAATTCAAAGAGATACAATCTTGCCAAACTAAAGGTAGTTATGGACAGGTTTGTTTCTTTTTCAGTGCCTCCTGCAGTTGTTGCTGTTGAATGGTTGCATAAGCCTTTCTGCTTTATAGCACATTGTGTAAGAACTTTTAGTCTTCTATTCAGCCATGCTGATCTTTCAAATCTTGTTTCGCTTTCTGTTCCCTATAAATCATGATTCCTGGATCACACTTTTCAGTGGCTTGCACAGTTGTTCTTGAATTTGTTACAGTTTTACATTTGACAACAGCACATTTTCTAGTTCACACAGAAGCTAGTCCCAGCTGCGTGTCTTGATGCAGCTGCACAATGTGAATCAGATCTTTTTTCTCCTTCCTTTAAGCTTTATGAAGACACCCAGAGCAGTGTGCAGCCAGCTGTTTGATTGAATTTGCAAACAGTTAAAAAGAAGTTTCTCATGTCTACAAAGGGACTGAGTGTTTTGCTTTCAAGAGTCATGTGGTGCTACTGAAGTGTTACTTAAATTATAAGCCCAAGGAAAAAAGCAACAAGTGCAGGAAGTAAATGTTACTGGACCCAACTAAAGTCAGATTGCTCTAATATGATAACAATGTTTTCAAGGACTCTGTGCAAGTTTTATATTAACTGAAGATCAAGGTCAGGAATGCAGTTCAAATTACCATCTTTCCACTGTTCCTGCTTGCAAAGAACCTGAGTGTTAGGAGTGGAGTGTTATAAATACATTTCTATGTGCGTACACAGCAAGAGGGGCTGCTTGATTCTGCTGTCTTAAAATGAGGAGAATACGCTGTCTTCTAGGATCTGCCACTTTACTAGAAGCAAACACAATTCCAGATCCATTGCCCTTTACCACAAGGAATGATCTCTTTACATATTTTTCCCCAAACCAGCAGGAGAGGGCAGCTACAGATTTCTGTTTAATAACCCAAATTACTCCTTCAGTGCAAAGCAGCAGCTGTGTTCCTCTGCTGCTCATGTTATCCTCCAGTTGCTGATATGTATTAAACTGTCCACAAATGAATAAGTCTAACATGTTATCTTCCTCACAAAAAAGGGGTTTTTTTAATCAAAAATGACAGCTCAACTGTGTCTTCTCTAGTGCTAATACCATCTCTTACCTTGCAGTTTCCAGCCTCTTTTTCTTGGATATAATGAGCTGGACCACATCTCAAAAATCCATGAAGTGATAGGCACTCCTGGTAACAAAACTCCAAAATTTCAAGCAGTAAGTATGCACTCCCATAGTTACTAATCTCACTTTTTCAATATCCACAATAGAGCTGTACAGCTGTGTGCAATTTCTGCTCAGGGAACTACCACAAAAACCTAAATCTCTGCTGACACAAGAGCAGTGTCTTCTCTCCCTACCCAGAGACAGTCACCCATTCATGAACCTTACAGGCAGATCAGAGGAAATCTGAGCCTATCTTGATCTTATTTGGCCTTTTATTTCCATAGTATCTTTAAGGCCAGTGACGCAAACTTTTATGAAAGAAAAAGTTTTTTTTCAAGTACTACTTACTTTTCCCTAATAAATGATTACCTAAATGAGGTGGATTCTTTCAGTAAATTGTAATCTTCTCTGAATATGCATGATTAAATGTTTTTCTCAGCTTGCTTAACACAGGTAAAGAATTTTGAGTTTTGAATCCTCCCTTTAAAGAAAGGAAAAGGAAAGTCTTCTCTTGTGCACAAATTAAAGGTTTCTATCTGTGTGCGATGATAAAATATGACCCCAGTGAGAGAACTGCTGCCCATCAAACCTTACAGCACCTTTATTTTCAAGAACTCTGGCAAGTGACTTCAAATCACTTCAGTTTTGAAGACTAAAGTCAAAAGGTGAGGGGTGCGTTGTGTCCATGTTTCAAGTGGTCTGAAATTAGTTTCCAGTGCTAGTCCTTGTCCTGTCAACCATGAACATAATTCAGTCAATGGAATTCTTTGCATTGAGTCCAAACCTTACCTAAAACACTACTGATGCTTGTCTCTATTCTTTTTGCCCCCACCTTTTTAATACAGCCAATACATGAGCTTTAACCATGCACAAAAAATTAAGAGTAGTAGGAAATATGTTCGGACAAATACCTCAGTATTTGTGGCAAATTTCAAAGGCAAGTCCATGACAGGTAGTATTTAAGTGGCAGAGCTGTCAGCCCATTTAGAGAAAGTAATTTGTAGCACTGAGCTTGTTAGCTAGAAACAAATGTTTTACTTAAGCTGATTACTTGGGTTTATTCTGTCTGCCTAAACACAGATCTTTATTTGGTCTGATGCAGTTCCCCCTCCCCCCAAATCCCTGACATACACGAGTTAGAATTTAGAAGCTCTGATACCTTATAATCCCCTCAGTAGACTCTTGTTAGAGTTGCTGTTACTTAAAGGGTCAGCTCCACCTTTATTTTTAAATATCATCATCCTGTTTTTGATGTCTGCTTTGAGTTAAAAAGTTTTCCAGATGAAGTGTGGCAGAGACAGGAATTATGCTTTTGCCTTTTCAGGGCTTCAGTGTGCATTTTGAGCAAATAAAAATATTTTTTTAAAATACCTTAATTATCATGTATATAGACAAAATAGGGAGAATTCTAAATGCATATTTGACATGAAATAAGAAATAATTAAAATCTGATTAAAAATCTGGCAAATTAAAACTTTGTTTATATATCAGCTATGTGAAAAATACTCTATGTATTCACTTGCTGTATCAACAAGGTGAGGTGGAAGTTAGTACCACATGGAAAACTTTCAAACATGTTTTTCTCAAAAAAACCCTCAAAAACCTCCACAAACTAGCAAAGAACGATTATAAATTATTTTATGCCATACATTCAGCTTTGAAAGCATGAACTCTCCTTCTACAGGAGAAGCAACTCGTTCAATGAATTTAGTTCTGGGATTCATCAGTGTAGGTTTTCTAAGTTGCTTTAGACAAGATTTCAAGAAACATCAAGTAAGGCAAGTAATTTTTAAAAAGGAATGAGGTGAAGTTGTAATTGGATGAGGGTTTTTTAATTTCTGATTATTTGGGGTTTCTCTTCTAACTGTATTCCTTAAGATGTTGTCAGAAAGAAATCAGATCTTGTTTGTTTATTTTAAAAGCATTCTCTCAGGAAAGTCTAGGAAAAAAAAAAACAAATCAACAGCATGGGTCTCTGCTGCAAGAATTACCAAAATTACATTTTTCTGGAGTAGCCAAATTGATTTGCTTTCCTACTCCTACATTGCATTCAGTTTTCTGGAAACCTAAGGAAGGTGGTGGAACCCCTGTGTTCCAGATATACTGCATCAAATATTGAGGTGTAGACTCTCACTTGCCCACTGAAGCACATTTGAAACTTCTGTTGTGTCTTCAACAGTCTGAGAAACAGAAGGCACTTCAGTCGTCCCTGAAACATTTCCATTTGCCTGCTATACAAGGAATAGGAGTGAGGAAAAGCCTGGCTATGCAGTGAGAGAGACCCAGTCATGCTTCTGTTGCTGGAGATCTAACAAGAACAGTAGTGCCTGATTTTGTCTTGCTCTGACAATTTGCAGGAAAACTCCACAAGGTTTGAGGGCTGGTTTCCTACCATTTTGATATTATGTTCCTGAAGGGGGTCAATATTTAATTAAAGCATTGTTCTGGCAGAGCACAGAGAGTGTTCTGCATTGAACTTCCTAAGTACTTGTTCCTTTTAGAACCTGGTGGAGGAGGAGGTTGGTTAAAAATAACATGAAAGGATTCTTTGAGCTCAAGTATTAGGAATGGAATGTTATCTACAGAATTTAAGTTTTCAAACTGTATTACAAATGACAGCTAACTGCTGTATTTTTTTTTTTTTAGATTTAAGGGTTTGGGTTTTTTTCAGTTAGCTCTGGAAATTATTCACCTCCTATTCAGTAACTTCCACCTCAGGTTTTACTGAGAATGTGCAAATTGTTCAATCATAAGAGATACTTGATTTTAATGCAGTTTCCCTAACTGCTGACTATTTTTATGTAACCATAATCTAATTCAAAGCTAAACCAACTTTTTAGCTGATTGAAAAGTAAGTAAGACTTAGTCATAGTTTGCTTCAAGCCATGGATCTTAAAATTAATCAAAAGTCTTAACAGGGCCTGATATTGCAGCCAGTTGCTTAAAAGAGCAGTAAAAGCACATAACTGGTCATGCTTCAGAAATCTGGCACACAGATCACCAGCAACAATTTAACAGAATATTTCCTATTATTAAATAAAGAGTTAAAAGGCAACATCCTTATCTTACTAGGAAAGAATCTTTATTTCAAACTGATACAATTGATTTTAAAATTCCTGACATCGAAAAGCTTGCATTAAATAATTTATAATACTTACATTTGGTGATGTGTTAGAGAACATTTGGTTATTTAGAAAACGAAAGTCTGTTCAAGTCATACTTGGCTGGGGGTTAAAAATCTTCTGCCTACCAAGTGTGTATGCAAGACAGGTTTGGCAAATAACTTTTTTGGAGGTTTTAATTAGTTTAAATAGTAACAAAAGTTACTTGCTTATACACTTCATGGGAAGTGATCATTTTTTGCCACAACTAAACATTGAGCTCTGGTGCTGCTGTTCAAAAGCCCAGCCATGAGCAGGAGGCAAAGGGCATTTAGTGTGAGAGGTATTGCTGCAGGGAGACACCATGGAAAATGAGGCACTGGGGAGGAGTACATCACATCCAAGTCACTTAGCCAGCCCTTAGGCATCAATTTGACATTTATGATCTAGATCCAGAGTAACTATTTATTCTAACCAATTAAGATACACAATGCAGTAAAATACAGGTTAACATAAAGATCCTGTAAGAGTAAAAATGAAGCCTGTTATGTTCACAGCTCTCCTTCTGAGACTCCACAGGGCTGTGTATTTATGAAAACAATTATTCTTCTCACTCATTTGAGCTCTTCCAGTAAGCAGGCTTTTTGCTGTGGTTTGTTAATTGGTCAATTGTTTTTGTAAGATGAGGCATCTCAACACTTGTAGGGCTCTGTTGTGACTGGATTAGAGCCTAATCCTTGTTCAGGTCAACTTTGGACAACTTTGAGCATGCCCAAATTCCACACTGTAGCTTTTCTGTGTGGAGAAGCTCATGAGACTCAAGTTCTTTATGAATCTTTTTGACATCTACTGCTTAAAAGCCCTTGTCTAACTTACATTTGTCTTCATGTTTAGAAGATGCTATTATTATCACATACTATACTGAGGATCAATGTGACATTTGTAAGGAGATTCTTGAAAATGTGAAAAAGTCACAGGGTAAATGTGGTGCAGACTGTGGGAGTATTTGATATTGATTCAAATTTGACTATCCAAGTTAAATATGCACCTGCATCATGTACCATTGCTCACTTTATGTCATTTCTTCATAGCGAACTTTCAGAATCTCAATAGCAAGAATGGAAACACATCCCAGCCTTGGCAAGAATTTGTATAGCATAAGACTAAAGCACTTGAACAAGGCTCTGCGGGGAAACCTCTACCGCTTCTACTTGCACGAGGCGTGCCAAAGGAAGAGCAGATTTCTCTTTACTAGAACTGAACAAATATGTGAGCAGAGTTTTAGTGGAGACGTGCTTTACACCAGTAGAGTGAGAACACGGTAACAAAGGGAAACAGCAGAACACAACAGTACAGCTAACTGCTCCTTTTCATTTTACTGAAACTCCTACTGCATGGATGCTGCTTTCCTCCAGCTCCAAGCAAAAAGTGTTCTCCTGAACACAGTATCTCAAAGTGCAGTGAAGATACGTAACCACAGTGACTGGCTGAGGTTTCCTGCTCTGTTTCACTGAATCATCTCCCCACATCTGTATGCTTTCATGTTAGCAGCTCATACTGATAGAACAGAGAAATTCAACAATAAGGCAGTACAGTATTTGTCTGAAGACTTACCATAGGGATTCTTTACAGATATATATGTGAAAGGTATGATGCTGCACTTAGAAAATGAAATTAAGGACTTCAGGTCTATAGGCAGGCAACACAATGCAACAGTAACTTCCAAGTTCTTACCTTTGGAACACTGAGCAACAGGTGCCATGAGCTTATCCAGTGTTTTTTCCAGAGAGGAAGACGGTGAGTTGCTTAGTCTGATATATTTGGAGTTCAGCATAATGAGTGGCATTCAAGTTGATGGTTTAAAAATAGGTAACTAACTGGATCCAAGGGATATTATGCTCCACTGTTGTTAATTTCTTATATAAAAAAGAGGACAAGTCCTACTACCCACATTTGATGGATTGTTCTGACTCAGATCTCCCTTACCTAGCACTATACAGGAGGTCAAAGCTCAGATTATCAAAACTATATTCCTGATGGAGATATATTTATTTTGTTTGTTGCTTCTTATAATCAGTTTTTGGCAGCCTCAAATCACAGATGCTGAAGTTTAAGTATTTTAACTAAAAAACATAAAATTCCATCAAACTGTGCTTGCACATGGTACTTTTCTGATTCCAAAGATGCTATTGCCACTGTTTGCTTCCCTAATTAATATATCAGGTAGGTGATTATTCATACACCAGGAAAAAGATGAAGTCAGAATTTTTGTAAGTTTTAACCTGGAAAGAAAGGGCTACCAGGGTAACATCTTGTGTATTATCACATTCTGTGTATCTGGGGCTGTCAGACTGTTATAATGAGAATAGCAATTTCATGTTTCATTTTTGCTGTAAAATTGAAAACCTGAACCAAAGAGCCACATTGGAATTTTTCTTCATTTTTTTTACCCTTTCAGGTGGATCTTACTCAGTTTGGCACATGCAGTACTTCAAGGATATTGATTTCCTAACAAGTTCTTTGCTGTTAAACCTCTGGAGACAACTTACACTTCTCTGGCTGTTGGATGAATAGGCAAACTTGTGTTTCCTATCTGCTTTATAGTTAAAATACACCCAAACTTTAAACTACAAACTGGCAAGCATGGTTCCCACCCTCATTCTTCCAGCTAAAATTCCATACTGAGATTATCTGTGTTCCACTCACTTTTAATTATTTTTTTTTATGTAGTAGGAAAAATATTTTATTAAAAGTTGTATCTACAGTAGAGTTCTTAAGTTCCTTCCAGGTAAGTTATTAGTATCCTGTTTCTTACTAAAGTAATTTTTTTCCATATAGAACAGAGTGTGATATGGGCAATTTAAGCTTCTAGATGATTGCCCTAATAGTAAAGAAGAGGCTGAAAAAAGAAAACCCACACACATTCCTTGTGTGCTGCTGGACTACAATTTGTGGCAGGGACATACCCTGCCAACATGGATGTGAGTAGCTGCTGTTGTTCCCCTGATGTTGGATATTGCAATTCTTCCCCTACTGGTTTTGTATTTTTCCAGCTGAAGGAAAAAAGTCTTTTAAAGTTACTACATATTTTTTCAGCTATTTTATTTTGACTCAGACCCTATGAAGCACTTATATAGAAGTCGTCTACGGGGAGATAACTACGTAAGTTTTCAGTGATGAGGTTTATCTGTATTTTAACAGTTAAACCCACTATGTTAATAAAACAAAACTTCTGAAAAATAATCCTGCTCAGTTTCAGTATTTTCCCCATTCCTCCTATTTTAGAAGACAGATAAGAATTGTAAAGCACAGCTACATCTTGAATAAAGTAGGGAACTAATTCCCAGCTTATACACTGATCTGGCAGCTCTCCACACACTGGCTGCATTGCAAGGATAAGACTCAGTTATAAGCTACTGCAGTTGCTTCTCCCCAAATGTTCATTCATTTCCTGAAAACAAATCACTTCTCATGCCAGAAAATGTCTTAAGTTTACTTGTAATTAAAAAAATTCTACCCAGCTTTATTGTTGGAGAGCAGGAAGGGCATTAACTTGTGCCCACAGATACAGTGTATGCCCTGAGGCAAGTTCATGGTTCTGGGCAAGCAGCCTGTGTTCTACTCTGCCTGCAGGATTCTACAAATCCCAGTGAGGAATGTTGCTGCTTAAGAAAAAGGGAAGCATATGATGGACACTTCTATCTTCTGTCATTATGGGGCTGGACATAGAGGATTAGTCTTTGCAAGAACTACTGAAAACAAGTTAAGTGGTGTGTTGACTGATTAAAAATGACAAGTGTTTAGACAAGCAACATCAACCTCTGCAAATCCATGGATATCCCCATCACGCTTATCAGTTTAAGACCATTGAATTATAAATGAGATGCCTGATGTAAGACAGAGGAGTCTCAGAAATGCTACTCCAGTATGTTAACCCAGTTTCTGACTGACAAGTCAGGAAGTGTGTACAGCTACTGCTGTGGGATCTTCCCAACTCCAAATGCACGGGACTACACGATAACAAAATCCTTACCCCATGAAGTTGCCTGTCTGTGAAACTGCTGCTGTATGATGTATTTGAACTGCAGGATGTGTTTGGAGATAGACCATTTAGCACAAGAACAAAACAATTGTATTTCACTTTCTAATTGAAATTAATTTCTATTAAATATGAAACAATGTTCTAAGTAAGATATTTTTGAAAGGAATTTGTTCTACAAAGTTTAGATAGTATTTCTGTACCAAACATTTAATTCAGCAAATAATTGGTTACATCAAAAATGATTGGATTTGAACAGAAAGTAAACAAAAATGCATATTCAAGATAGTTTAATATGTATTTTCTGAATTAGAAATATCACTTTCTTAAATGAATGAGAATTTCTAGTGTAATGATCCATTACTCCCATCCCCCATCACTGAATTACATTATTTATACATATAATACAGAGCTGATTGCAGTTGGAAACAACAATATTAAAATAAATGTTTAATAGATACAAAGGATCTTTTCTCCACAACATAGTTTCTCTGGTGTCTGGACACCAGTTTTAAAGTAATTCTCTATAAGCATTAAACTATTTAAGTGCAAAACAATTTTGTTTTAAAAAAATCTATGATTGCAGCATCCATCTTCCTGAAAAACATTTTGAAGCCAGAAAGTAATGACTTTCATTTTCCATGAGTGCATTCCAGGCTGTCTTCTAGCCATCTCTGGTTAAAAAAATCAGTGCAAAATAAACAATGGTGAAGTACTAGTTTAACCATTGAACTTACTTGAATTTAAGAAACATATCTTATTTTACACTATATATATATATATATATATTTATATCTTTTATTTATATATTTATAGAGAGATTAAATTACACTGGACTCAAAAAGTATAAAGAAAACAAAAATGTTACTACTTTTTCCTGCAGTACTAAAGGAAGCTTTTTGCTTTTTCTCCAATGCAAACTCTTCCTTGGGTGAGCAGCCTAGCAGGATCAGCTGTAGTGAGAACTCCTTACATTTGTCCTTTGCAAGTCACTATGTGATTCACATAATTCCATGTTTACACTCTGCAACATTATAATTTGTGATGCTCTTTGCCTGAAGAACAGCTCCTGGTTCCACTGTCATTACTTCTTGTCCTGCGTTCAGAGATTTGCTAGCAGTAGTGTGATGGCTATACTACAGTTCCACTTGGAGAATTGGCCTGGTTTTGGGATGACAATAAACCCTGCAAACAAAGCAGTTTACATTAATCCAGCAAGAGAACCTGACATGAATTTTAAAAAGTTGTTAACCTGAACCTACAATGAGTACAGTTGATTTTTACCAACACTTGCGTATTACTTCAGACATCAGCACCTTCTCGCCACCACGACCTCAGCCAAGCAGTGCACAAAGAGCTCTCAGACAGGAAGAAATGTGTGCGTTTATGACACGGAATGGATCTGATCCCAGCATTTGCTTTAATCTACCTTGCACTTGGAGTCATAGTGAATTGTGAAACTTTTAAAATCACACACCAAAAAAGTGATCAGCATTTTACTGGGGTGGTGTCAAAAAAACCTATTTCAATATCAGTATGTTTGACACCTGACCTGATACAGGGAAACGCTCCATCTCCTATATGTGATTGATTATTACAAGGTTTGAATAGAAAAATAGACTGTCTAACCAAATATTTGTTTTGGTAATTTTAAAACAGAACGAAACACTGAAAAGAGTTCAGTAGAGATTTCCTGTTACAAGTTAAGTTCACACTCAGGAAAACTTGGTACCAGCTTTTCCAACTACCCTGCCATTCGAATCAAGAGACTTATTTCACACACAGCCCCACAACTGCACAGTGCCCCTCACTACACAGAGGCTGCTGCTCTGGATTAAAGCAACCACACATTATGGATGAAACCTATGGGTACCAATGGACAGACTCCATTTCAGATTTATGCATAGTAGCCCCTTTTTAATAATTCATGTAAAAGTAACATTATCAGGCTTATTTAGGAAAAGCTTATTGTCAAAATACAATTTAGCCTTCTTACAAGGTCATTAGATAGTTGTACTGAGTGCCAGCAGGCCAAGGAGCATGCTGGCAGATGGAAGCACACTGGCAGCTGGAAGCACACCAACAAGTATCCCCATGCAACTCCTCACCTTATAGGTATGATAAATGCACTTTCAGCAACTCCTCTAAGCAGCTCCCAACTTACATTCTTACCTCCAAATTAAGATCCTGGGACTCAGATCCATCAAACTAGACAAGATCAGGCAGCAATTAGCATACAGACAGAAGACAGAATTATGTCACTTCATCAGAATCTACAGGAGCTCTTTCAAACTTGGATCCAAGAACTGAGAGGTCATGATGATGGAAGTAAACCCTGACCTCAGAAGAGGTGGAAAGAGGGGAAAGAGGGCCAGACTGGATTCAAGTCATCAAATTTCTGTTAAAACCAAAGCCCTTCCTTTTAAAATATCATCTGATCATTTCAGACACATGAACCTGGATAGTTTGCAGGATTTATGCAGACTGTATTTGCACGTGGCCCATATGACATTTATAAATAACAAAGCATATAGTACTTAACTTGGTGCCTTCCATAGACCTCACCTGAAGGAACCTGAATACCTTTATTTGTATTTGTTTATGCAGGGCATATCTGATTCAAAGACTGTTGAGGTAGACTGAAGTGGATTGTTCTTCACACTTGACATTCAGGAAGTGCAAAGATCCTGCATATTTCATGAGAACAAAAAGTTCCCTAGTTATCACTTACGGACTATAGATGGGGAAAGAAGGCAGAACTTTAGAGCAAACAAGCCACTGAAGCACTTCTGAAATTTTTACCAGGGGAGTTTTGTTGGAAAGTGACAAGGTTGAATCAGAATTCACTAGTTCATTACTGAAGCATTCTTCACAAGTCTATTAAATCCAGCAGCAACTGGAAGGTCTTTCTTGTCAGAAGATTACATCCACTAAGCAACTTTGAAGTACCCTGGAAAAAGACGTCCAAAGGTATTATTTTCAGTCTTAATTAAATCAGCAATCCAAACTGTTCATATGCAAATATGTGCTTTATAAGCACACAGGAAGCTCTAGGGATGGCATAATGTCTTTTTCAACAGGCTCATAACCACCCTATACAGGAGAAATAAGCCTTATTCTAGCATTGGATTTATATTGTAACACAACCAATTCTTGGGAAACAAAATGAATTTATTTTCCTAGGATTCCTCTAGAAACTGGCAGCACATACGAAATTCAGTGTGGTGCCTTATTCCCTGTGAATTACCAGCCACTCTAGAATACAAGTTCCAAGATTAGGAACAAGGAGTCAGTCCTGGTTACACCTCATAGGCAGTGAATGCTCCCTGCTTTGAAGAGCAGCAGCTCAGTGCAGATGGCTTTCAGTGAGTACTAGGAATTCCTTGTATTTCAGTCTTTGCTCTGAATTAATTCTGCAACTCTGAGCAGGCAAGCTAGAGGAACCCCAAAGTGGAAATGAACTCGAGGCCAATTTCCTTGTGCTTCTGCAGATGGAACAAATGTATGCAAGTACTGCCTTAAAACTTGGACTAGGCTACGATGCTGTTCAGAAATTCACTCCCAGGGGAAAGACCAGAAAGTGCTGAGTTCTTCCAAGTACTTGATTGCAGAAGACGTCTTAAATGTTCATACAAGAAAAGCAAGAGTATGAATTTGGTTTTTAGGCACATAAGTTTCACTGACGGTGGCAAATTCTCAGTGGGTCCCGATTAAAACAAAAATTCTACAGCATTTTGCCCTTGTATCAGAGCCTTCCAAGCAAGGCTATTAGTGAGGTTGTGTTCAGTGTAACACAGGAGACAGAGGAAAACCTAAGAAAAGCAACTGAGGGTTCAAATAAAGTTACTGCTTTGATACAAAAGTTCACAGTAAGTCTCATCTGTGATACAAAGGGTGTGGGATTGGAACAGTTGTAGTTACATTCTTTGGAAGAATACTATGGGTAAGGTAATGAAAAAAATATATAAAGCTCCTGCCTGTAAAGAAAGACATGAGTGATGGAACCGCCCAGTTCTGTGATGGAACCACCCAGTCTATCAGGTGGGAAAAGATGGAACAAAAGCTGCAGCAATTTATGAAAGTAACAGCCAAGTCAGCCCATTTAACAGCTGTGGCAGGAAACATGGAAGAGCAGAGCCACAACAGCTGCAGCTCTGCCATGTGGTGCAGCAGCTTCAGGCTTAAGGACAAACATCCCACTGAGCAAGCAGCAGGAAGAAATTAAGACACTGTTCAAAGTTTTGTAAATAAATGTAGTGTTTTATTAGCAGTAGTATTTTGTCAGCATATGAGGCTAGCAGGCATGGGATATGGAATAGTAATGAGATCCAAGACAGGAATTCAGCAAAACAATATTCATCCCAACCTCCGAGAGGTAGCTGTTGTCATCTTAATGGGACACTCCACAGCTGAGCAATGCAGCTTTCAGAGGACTGGGGTCATTTTTCCTAAGTCAGTGCTGTGAGTATTGAACACAGACTGCTTCAGCTCTAGCTGCTAGGGCTATCCTGTTTATCCATGCATTCTTTGACTTCCTGAAACACACAGGACTTTACACATCTGGTAAAAATACGCTGGCATGGGTAGGAATGAAAAGCCATAACAAATAGAATCAGGAAGGCCACTTGCACCCAAAGTTCATGGCACTCATTTGCTGGGGTCAGTTCACTGCAGCAGCACGAACACAAACCCTCCTCCACATTAATGGGACTGTGAACAGAGGGGTGAGTATATTTTTAAAAATTCTACATAAAATCCAGACAAAAGTCTGGGGCTTCTTTCAAAAGACATGAAACATAAGGTTTCACAACAGAAACTATGAAAGATCAGCATGCAATTGCTGTATTTAAAAAAAAAAAATCAGGAAGCTATTACAGTATTAAATAGGGAAAAAGTCAACAAGAGCAACTAAGTTAATATTTTCTTAATCTAAATTAGAAGAGGTTTAATTGGAGCCAGAGGTGCAATCATACAATTTCACTAATCTAGATAATAAACAGCAAGTTTGGACATGCAGGATACAAAAAGTGTGTGTCTCCTTCAGGGAAACAGCTCTGCTGGCACTCAGAACATGCTGGACATCAAATTCTGCTCATCTAATTTCTGGTTTGAAATTGAAAGGCAGTAAAAATAAAGGGTCCAACATAACAAACAATCCAATGTGAAAAAATAAGTCTCATAGTGCACTTCATTAATGCAATGAAACCAGTTAAAATATGGAATTAACAAATGCCCATACAAGAATGGTACTGATTTGTTAAACCATTTCTACTATTGCCAGTATATTAAATAATGGGATGTTATTATTTGAAAAATATTCCAGGAGTAGTTTATTCTTGTCCAGAACTGTGATATTCCTGAAGTAAGTAGGGTTACTACGTAACTAGACCTACAAAGTAATCTGGACTGAAGCTTTGCTTCAGAAAAGAGCCCATGGGCCATTACATTGTTTGAGCAATAATACACCAAAACTAAAGTAAGATTTCTCACATTTGTTTAAAATTCTGTAGTTAAATGAGCTGAATTGGTTTTAAGATTTGCATGAACAAAATCTTCAAGTTCTTTATCCAAATGAGCAAGTGTTTACCAGCAAAGGTTTTGAACTGTATATACTCATTCAATCATATATTATCTCTAATGGAGTAATAAAATTAATGAAAATGCTGAGGAAACCACATACTGTTCATTTACATAACATGCTACAGAGAAATATTTTGTATGGGATTTACGGGGATACAGCAAAGCTGATGCCTGTCTTTAAACAGTTTGTGAGTTCACTAAATGGGCTTTTAAATTTGTATTCCATTAGCCTTTTTCTTCCCTCTGTTCTGATAACATTACACAAAAGTGTAAATACATAAACCATTTGATACCAGACCTTATGAAAGACTTTAGCACCTTTAGGATTTCACTTGCAACTTCTCTTCTGAATATATAAAGGAGATTTTCTCTTAACAGAAGTCACCATCAACAAAAGCAAATTAAGGCTGATAGAAAACCATCAGTAACTAAACATCTGTCCAGTGGCATTAGGTGAATGGAAGATACGCAGGTCCAAGAGGAAAAAAAAAAGAAGATGCAACTATTTGGGTGCTGGAAAATGCAAAAACGCTTTTGCCAGCAGAAACCTGACTCAAAAAATAGGACCTTAAGCTTCATTCAAGTGGTAAGGGCTCACAGGCTTATAAACTGTTGTTTCTCAACTTTCCTCAAACTACAAAAATCAGTAAGGTGTAAAATTTTCAGTTTAGAAAATAATGAAATTGAGATAAACCAGGGAAAACCTCAGGGAAAAGCATGTGACGTAAGGCAACTCCATGTGAGTTAGCTGTAAAGTGACTGTAGTCTTAGCAGAAGAAAGGAGCCAAATGAGTTTGATATGGTTGAGCAGCACCTACCTAAAATCGAGCTTCAAAACCCAGAAAATAATATGATCTTAAAAGTTTTTTCCTTGAGAAGTTTGTGCAACATTATTAAAGGCAAGTAAAATGACACTTTCATGTTTCAAGACATACTTTGCCAAATACCTTCTCTGACCACAAAACCTGTGGAAGCTGGGTTTTGTTTCAGGCTCACACTGACTATGGCGAAACTGGTTTGACCAACCAGTTCTTGCATGATTGGATATAACTGGATGTTCCAGAAGCATTCAAGCACATTTCATTTTTCCTTTCACTAGCCCCTGTTCTTAAATATGCATCTATGTTGTATGTATAGATTGTCACAATGGCCAATCAATACCTTTGAAGTACCACAAAGTTCTCAAGTTTATATAAGATTATTGCCTCAGCTTTAGTCTACAGAATATTTTTGCATAAGAGACAAACAAGAGTCCTCCCTGTCAGACTGGACCCAAAGTAACTCACTTTCACACTGAAGTTCCTCAGAAATGCCTCTGAAACACCTCAGTAAATAGCATTTGTTTGGCTTTTCTTTGTTAACAAAGAATCACCGCTGCAAAGGTGAGATAACGCCTAGCCCCTCAAAAGAAAAGACAACATCTGAAGTCTTCACCTAAATTTGCTCCAAGAAATTTTCCAACCAAAGTTTTAGACTAGTTTATTTTAGTTTAGATGAGTTTCATTCTAGATTATTTTCTTCTAGACAGAAAATGCTTGAATCATCTATATGAGCCATATCCTCAGGGCTGTAAATTCAGCAATCATTAGGTAAACACCAAGATCTAAAGCTGGAATAAAGAACATACCCTGCACCAGAGTCCACAGAGGAAAGAGCTCCTGTAGAGTCCTAGAAGGAATGACGACACTCTGCCCCAGCTCCTACCGGACAGGTGTGCAGAGAGAATCTAGATACAGCCATGTCTGTGTTCTGCTGAATCTGAGTTTAAACAAGTTTGAAAAGTGGTTTGGTAAGTATTCTGTTTAATGTTACTCTAGTCCTAAAAAAAATAGCTACCTTGAGTCATGACCTTATCAGCAAGCTTTAAACATCAAAACATCTGCATAGTCTTGAGACAAATTGGAACATTTTCTCAGAACAGGTTACAGATGTGATCAACTTCTTACTTTAAAGCATGGCACGTTAACAGTTTCATTGTGGCCATTTGTTCAGCACAGTGTGAGAGCACAAGACCACCTAAGCACTGCAAGATAAATTAAAACTCAAATGTGGAAAGGACTATTGAAAGTTATCTACATTTACAGTTCAATCACACATTTTTATTTAACATCAGTATACAGAGGACAACCCCAGCAAGTTATTTTGTAATGTCAAGTATTTAGTAAAGTTCTTCAGCTGTAACAGTGACAATAGAACAGCTAAAAATAAGCAGTATGAAACAAACATGATCTTCTTAAAATTATAAATATACCAACAATACTTCTTAAAGCTTAATTATTGCAACAGTTAAATTAACAATAGTTCATGTTAGAAAGGCTCTATGAAATTTATTCAAGTTGTCAAGAAATTAGATGGAAGTGTAAAAAGGAAATACATATGAATTTTACTTTTGATTTTCACTAAAGGTAGTCAATACAATTTTGTACAGTATCACCTAACATGTCAATCTTTAACAAACTCCAGTATACAGAATCATAAAATGCAGAAAAAATAGTTTAATCTTTACATGTAAATTGACAGTAAATTAACTGACACAACTTTTATTACTGTAACATAAGCAGGCCAGCATTTTAAATATTAATTTAGTAGTTTTATATTGTTAAAGGGGCAGACATATACAGTCATTCCAAGTACATACTCAAATTTTAAGAGGTGATAATTCAGAACATGGGTTTTCTAGAAAGTGTTTAGTAAAAGTCATGTTATTTCCTAATCCAGAAATCCTCATCATAAAGCCTGTACAGGGTTATGATCTCTCCTGGCTTTACTGGAGCCACTTGTCACACCTCCTCACACACGCACACACACATACCTTGCTATAAATATCACACCAGTGTACTCTAGGTTCAATTCACCCTGATAATGTGGGTGTGCCATGTGCAACTTTGCTACTGTGCACATTACAGAAAGCTTCAAATTTTAGCATGGTAACCTGAAGTTGTATAGCTGTGTTTCAGTTTAACTATAATCATCCCTGAAGTTTATACAGATACCGTATCACGTTGAAAGAAATCTATTTGATAGTACTTAAATACCAGCAATTGAACTTCAATTGTAATGATGAAATGCTCCTTTCCACTGAGGAAGAATTAGTATGTATAGCTGCTCGTCTCACTCAAATATAGTACATGAATGCTTAAGTACTTTCACTAAAACAGAAGTCATACTAAAACATGATACTGTACTACAATTGTAGTTAACTAGAAAATTCAAGGATGTTATAATTTAAGTCTAAGTTTTCCTGTACAATAAGTCAAATAAATAAATTCCACGTGCATTTGTTTTACAAAGTGGTAGGATGTTTCTCTTGCTAGGTTATACACTGCCATTTCACCTGGGGGTGCTTCTGGCCAATCTTACCTTGAGCTTTCTGACACAGGGAACTCACCGGCAGCTTTCATTCACTTAAAATGGAGTTGCTAAACAGAACAGTCCGTTCTGAAGGCAACACAGAAATCACATAAGTACTTACTCTGATCACTGAGTTCAGAGAAAACTTATTTTGCATATCCAAGTACCACTTTGGGGTTTTGTGGGTTGCTTTTGTTGGGGTTTTTTTAATTACTTCTACAGATCCTGTAATTCAGTTTGACGTAACTATAAGATAGCACAATAAAGTTACTTTTGTTCCTTCCAAATTCAGTTTCTATATTTTCAGATTAATCCATCAGTTCTGTAATCCTGTTAAGGTTTCCCATCAGGGCCTGGGAAAGACAGGGGTGAGAGACGACAGCTAATTGTCACCATGTTGAGAAGAAAAGCTCATACTCTCATTAAGGCAACCTATTTTTCTGACTGCCCTGAACCTTCTTTCACAGAAACCAGCTCACAAAAAGAAAGAAAAGAAAAAAAGAATAAAAAATTGGAACTAATGAACCCTGAGCCTCATCCAACTTGTTTCTAATTGAATTTTGCCATTCACTTCACTTCACTGACTGGGAGCTGGCAGAGCAGTTCTGAAGTGCAATGCAAGAACAGTACATCCCGTGAGGAAGCTCAAGGTATGATTTTGTACACACCGAAGCAGTAATTTGGAAAGTTTATAAACAAACTGTCAGGACAACGTCAGCACTGTACAGACTATCAACTATCACAGGGATCATGGCTGAAGGGATACTTCTGGATTTATTTTCCACTCAGGGCAGCACAAGCCCAACCAGAAAAATAAACAGAATTTGTCATACACTGTCAAATTATTCAGCACACATTTTGACGGCTGTTGGAAATGAGAGGGAGAGGTAGCACTGGCTCAATGGAAAGCACATTAGACACTGCAAGCCTCCTTTGCTTTTCTATCCAATTCTTTCTTTAGGCTAGCAGTGGCATCAAATTAATGAAGGCCTTCTGAGGCAATGATGGAAGCAGCAGCAAGATTCAGAGGCTTTTAGTCTATAGAGTTGGCAGACAAAAAAGTGACAGAGCTTTAAGATCACTTGGGGAGCCATATGTCAAAGGAAGACTAGAAATAGCAACTTTAAAACCCAGAGTAATGGGACATCCGAGGATAAACAGCTGGTGGAACAGAAATGATGGTATATAACCCAGTAAGAAAGACATCACCATGAGTGTTTTATACTTTGACAATTCTCATTAAATAAAATTAAGTGCTTTCCTATAAACAAAAAGGATGCTCATAACGTCCTTCTGGCACAAGTATTTTCCTAATAAAGCCCTGTAAACATGCCACCAAAATTTAATTTTTACCAGCAGAGTGAGCTCACTAGAAATGCAAGTGAAATCAGAAAAACAAATTAATTTGTAAATTTCTAAGTAAATACATCCTAAAGAATATGGCATTTACATCAATGTGCAATATATTAATTTTGAAAGTGATAACTTCAGCATGAAAATTACTTACCTGTAGTTAAAGTTTCCCATATTGGCCAATACATAAATCCTGATTTTTGGTACTGCATACTTTATCTCTGAAATATTTGAAATGTCATATTCCAAATCAAAGTCAATACACAAAAATATTTAAGTTATACTCAGTCTAACAAAACCCACCTCAGCCACTGAAAAATAAATGTGACAGTGTAGTGTTTAATAGTGTTCAAAGGAGTTTTAGAACAAAAAGAAAATGTAGCTCACAATAGCAATCTGAGGCACTGCTGTAATTAATAAGATGTGAAGTGCACTGAGTCACAGAAGTATAATTGCTTTAATACTTTCATTTTGAGCAAACATTTTAAATTATTTAGTGTTTTAAGGGAGTGGTGTTTGTTTTTTTTTTTTTAAATTAATGCTGGATTTGTAGTTCTCAGGCAAAGAAATACTTTTAGGTAACACCCTCCTCCCTTCTCCCATAAAGGGGTTTTCAATTTTAAGTTTTAGATTCAACCTTTAAATATGCATTAAGTTGCAGAACAGACACAGATTTTAACACATATGTATGTTGTGACAAATTTGGTAAGATCTCAAAAAAGCCTACGTTATACAAACAATTTTAAGAAAAAAAAACTGAGTTTTACTTACAAGTTTCTACTAATGAAGATGTGGTATCTAAATATATACAATACCTCTACTTCAAAAGTCAGATTTATGAACCAAATGGTTAAAATCTAACAAATGACAGATTTGCACTTAAGCTGCTCAACATGGCATTATTCAGGTATTACCAGATCATTTCTCTTACTTCAGGTGATAATCTATATCCCTTTTCAGAAATTTTGACAAAAATAATGGTCCTTTTTCTCAGATCAACTCTGGAAATGTTTTCATAGCTGTATTCCTTTGAACTGTTGCTGGCAAGCAGAGCTATTGTAGCACAAAGTACTTTTTAATGTAAGAATCACCACATTTAGCTTCAGTCAAAATTTAGCTATCTATACATTGGACAGAAGAAAAATAAAATATTATAGGTGTTCAAATGCATCAACATCAAGAGTGAAAACTAGTAATAGACTAATGTAGGTTCAGCTGATGGAACAGGTGCCATCAAAAACACGAGCTTGTAGTGGTTGAACTGCCTTAACAAACCTGACAGGAACAGAACACTGAAACTACTGAGAGAAAGCTTGCAGGATTTTTCCTAACTTAAATACACAAATCAAAACCTGGCTATAATTAGAGTTCCTTGATAATACTGATTCACAATTTAAGAGCATAAACTACAGTCAGTACAGGGCTCACAAATCTGTGCATAAAATGGCTGATGTTTTAATAAGAAGTGGTTTCACATTAATGGCAGGCCACCACAGAAAAGTATGGAGGAATAAAACACTTTGGTTTTCACTTTTTCAGAGGCTCACGTTTCTCATTAGACTTAGAAGCAGCAGCTTTTCATAAGCTACTCTCATTGTGAGTGCTTATCTTTTAGAAAACATTAGAAGGATTATGATTATTTTAGTGTTTGACAGGTTTTACTTCAATTTTACATAAATAGCTTTCACCATATTGTGGTTATGCTTAAGTATAAAGAACACTGATCAATAGTTCAGATGCACAGTATTTATTTCTTCTGCTGGAAGGCAACTATATTTAATAATTGTATCCAAGACACTTCAAATCATTCAGAAATATGGCATGCAGTATCCAAAAGTATGGCTCTGAGGATATTTTTTTTTACATTAAGCATAAAGAAATTTTATATTCAACATTCATTATATTTCAAGAAAACTATCTATTCAGAGTTCTAGCTCTTTGATGCAGCATTAAGGATTAAAACTTACCACTTTACCAGGCCTTGCCCATGTGCAAATAAATCCCTCCTGACAAGCAGTGACTATACAGTCTTCAAGAAAAATTAACACAGTCAGTCTTTCATGTGCTATCTTTTTACAGATAAGAGGCTCTAACAAGGGAACATCTTCCATTCGGGGACAGAGAGGTGTTCCCAAAGTTTTAGCTGGGTCCGTTTTGGTTTTAGTAACTAGGTTCAGTTTGTCACTGCTCTTGCTAGATATATGTCCCATGCTATGGTTTCTCTTGTGATCTTTCTCATGGTGTCTTTCCTTCCGATCGTGTAGCGACAAGGTTGCAAATTTACTAACGCCAGAAGCAATGGCACCATCCATGACACTGCTTTTACTGCCAGCATTTGAGACTGCAGAGTGTGGAAGGCTGTTTGACCGTGGAAGAGGAGGGGGTACAGAGTTTCCAGGTGTTGTGATACTGTTTCCATTACTTCCTGGGTTAGTTCCACCACTTCCAGCAGGTGGGCTTGTGGCATTCATGACATTTGTATGTGTCCTTGCTCTTGAGAGAGGTTGGTGGGGGAAGAGGATATCTTCTGTAAGATCCCACAAACAGAGCTGTGTGTCCTGGCCTACTGAACCAAATCTATACGTAACACTTACTGGACGACTGTCTGTAGAGTTCCTTTTGGATAGTCTAGATTGCGTGCTATTTGCTCGATCTCTGCCAAAATGAAGGTCTTGGAAATCCTCGTCACTTCCGCTAAATTCCATCGGGTCACTCTCTTCTACACTAGTGGTGTACGGATCAAACGCAACGACACTGACCCACGATTTATGTCCGTGGCCTCTCGCTATAACTCGACAGTCCACGAAAGACCAAACTGTCACCAAGTCATCCTCTCCGCCTGTCACTATGTATTTCCCATCAGGGCTCCAACACACACACAGCAGTCCTCCAAAGTAGCTTTTCATTGTACCATGCAATTCCACTGAATCAAAGTTAAACACGCGAAGAAAACCATCCTGGCTCACGCACGCCAAGAACTTCCCATCGGGGGAAAAGGCAAATTCATTCAGGGCACCCTCACCTACTGTCCATTTAAGCAGAGGGTTTCTTGTGGATTTACTCTTGCAAGTATGCACTGCAAAACTCTCTCCTTGTTTAAGTAGCTGGTAGTGCGGGGCTGTGGTACCACAAGTGTGCTCCACGTTATACAAGTACATATTGCCACTGGAATGAGCTACTAGGAAAAGGCTTTCCGAACCTGGTACCCATTTTACACAGGTTACTCGGGACTTGTCTATTAGTCTCTGTGAAAAACAAAGAAGATACACATCAGAAACTCTGAAAAGTAAAGTTTTCATGATTAACTGTAAATCTGAGCTTTCTGGGGGATGAGGAGCAATATTTAAAGTGAACTTAACTTTTTAGACAGGAACTATGTTAGTTACTGTATTTGCAAAAACTTATCAGGCAATAAAGAGGAAATTATTTTCAGACAAAGTGCTTTCAAAGGTTATTATTATGATCCTGTCACATTCCACCAAGACCATACTTCAGTCGAGCCAATCTGTTATGAATCTAAAGGCAGTGCTCTTTGGTTTACTTTTCCCTGTGTAGTTGAAGAGCATAAGAAGGAAACAAGGAAACATTGAATACACTAAAGGGAAAAAAAACAGTTACTCATCTGTATTATACAGCAAACAGGTTACAAATCAACAACAGTAAATTTAGGCTCTGATTTTATCTGAAATCACAAATAAAATCCAACCTCTGAAAAAAAACTACCAGCTTTTACTGATTCAGGGAGCAAAGGCTGCATACACAGTGACCCTGTTATCATGTGGCTGGAAAGTCAGTAGATAAATGCACATGGCTGAGTCAATTCACAGGGTACCAAAAACTTTTCACCTCAGAATCCCCAGCCTCCAATTATTTTTCTTTCAGTAGCCAAGGACCTGTCAATACCCTGTTACCATTTGATTAAGCATGTTCCTTTAAAACAAAATGTTTTAATAGAGTTCATCATTGCAAAAGAATGCACACGCATTACGCAAACATTCCTGGCCATAATGTCTTCAATTCTCTAAGAACTGAGAGGTAAAGTTTGACTCCTTGGACTGCTATAGTTCTGGTGGACTTCCACAACTTACCGTGTTTTCCATGGCACCACTCAGCTGCAACTTGCAGACAAGTAATTCTTTACAAGCACATTCAAGACTTGGATTTGGCATATTGATTGTAAGCAGAAAGAAGAGCTGAGCTACACAAAAGGCAAGAGTGCAAATATAAAGAGCCTAAGGAATACCAGAACAAGTTGCAAAAGCCCCAAAAACAAAGAAGAAAGAAGAATCCCCCCCAAACCTTGCTATGCTGTTTATCACACACAAAAACATCAAACTAAGGGATAACACATCAGCTGTTATCTGTTGTGGAACTGTCATTAGAAAGCAGCACCTGGCCTTTAGATTACAATTCCACTGCTGTCAACCTCAGTATAAAACCAGAAAACCTCTCTCCTGTAACTTCTCATTGGTTAAAATAGCCATGGTATATTTGAGAGCTGAGGGATGTAACTAAATATGACAAAATTCCTTCAAACGGAGTAGCTTTAAAATAATACAGTCTATGATTCTGTTGTCATAGTTTAACTGATTTGTTGTATGTTCACTGATATATATCATGCATATCTCAATAATGATGGTATCAGAAACACTGGAGAGAACAGTTACCTGGCACACACTAGGAGAACATGGGAGGGATCACCAGCCCAGCTGGGTTCCTGTAGGCACCAGTCTTCTCATTGTCAATATGGTGGCAAAAGCAAAATCTCTTGCTTTCTACTAAGGCAGCTCAATCTGACATACAGCCTAAGAGCATCTGCTCAACTTTTCCACCAGAAATGGCACTTTATGTCCATAACCATGTTGGCCTACATGATCCTAAATACTGCAGAGAAACTCTGCAAACCTGATCTTTACTTCAAGGAGGCTGTGAAAAACAGATTACAATTTGCAATGAGAACAGAACAACTCAGGGAGACAAGATGCAGAGAGACTCTAATCTGACATGACTACAATGCATCCCCTTCTCAAGACAAAAACTCTGAAGTTATGACATTCAGGAGTTTTAAAAGCTTTCAGCTGGGTTCACAAAGTTCTGCAGCACAACAAAGCCTAGCCTGCAGTCAGTAGGAGCAGCAGATTCATTACAAGAATGGTCTGAACCGTTTGCAGTATCAGCACATCAGTGAGGGATGTGAGATAAAGAGCTTATGTTCAGTTTGATGGAAGAACAGTAAGTGAAGAAGCTTCACTCACCAGGCAGAAACACTTGCCAAGATTATCTTGGTCATGTTTTGAAGAACATGAAGGGACAAAATTACAGGCGCAGGCCACAAATGACTGAAAAGGTTGAGGCAGTCAAAGAATATGCGTTAAGGTCTTAGACAGCTTTGGCAAAAATACAGGACAAGTTTATTAGGGAAAAAATGCAGCTCAAGGCTTCAGTTTAAATTAAAAAAGGATTAAAAAGTAAGATGAAAAAGCACTGGCTAATTTGATAATAACCAATTACCACGTGGGAACAATTGAATCTGTGAGGTATATTTGACTAGTTTGGGAAGTAAGGAAATATCACTAGTTTAACTTTGACACAGCTGGAAGGAGTACCACTGTGAATACAGATGGATTTATATAGGCAGCCACAAGCTGCAAAGTATCACTCACCTCAGCCTTTCAAGTCCCTATCATCCTCTACATCAACACAATTTAAGAAAAAAATAGTAACAAGTTAAGACTATGCTAGGACTATTGCATTTTATGTTCAACATAACCTACCATAACAGGCCGATTTATTTCATGTGTCATGTATATTCTGATTGCTCTCCCACAGCTGATAGTCAAAGCAGTGCTTTTGGCTACCTGAACCACCAAATTGCTCACAGGAGAGGAGGTGAATTCTATTACCTCTAGCATGAGTGCTGATCTGTAGAATGTTTAACATTCATTCAGACCACCTTATGCCTACAGTTATTCCTAAAGACTATCTAAACTCAAAATATATTCAAAATCAAATAGGTACCTTCATCTTGAAGCAAATTAATTGGTTCAAATATAAGTGCTCACTAATATTTCTCTGAAAGGGGCTTTAAATACAAGTCAGAACTTACAAACACATCTAAGGCAAACTTCAATAGTGTAATTGACAGAATAAAAATATATTTCAGTTTTAGAGTTGGTTGTAACTGCAAATAAGGTCAGCATAGGAAACAAGAAGTTCTCATTTAAGTGTAGCCTAATGTGTGTAGTTTTGGTAGGAACGAGCAAATCCTTACAGCAGCTTGGCAGAAGAGAGATCACCTCATTTAAGTTTCCACCAAACTGTCAAAGGGCATATTTCCATCACACTGAAGTAATTTGACAATAGCACAGACAAAAAGCAATACTGGAAGTGGTTTCAGTGCTTCCAGCATTTGGGGAATACCACAAGAACTATTCGGCCTGCAACACAGCTCTGCACTGTGGTCATCAGATAGTAAACACCTGGAAGTGTGCACAGGGCCTGGATGTAAGTATTCCACCAGAAGTTCTTCTCAAAGGAACTATAGCTCAGCCATAGGAGTGGGAACTACTCTGTGATATGAATCCAGCTGTTTAGAGTATGTCTACTATCCTTCTTACCACTTAACAATATTATTGTACAAGAATAAATAAGACACTTTTTTTTTTTTTGGGGGGGGGGGGGTGCAGGTGGTAGGACAATGCTAAAATTAACATTTCAACTACTTATACAGAGGTTTTTACCAACAGACAAAAGATTCATTAAAAGATTCTCCAGCACTATTTCCCACTCAACACAAGCAGAGACAGAGCAGTTGGGACAAGGCCAGGTAGGAAGAAAAACGCCCCTCTTCTGATCTACATGTAGCTACTTTTAGAAAGCTGAGGAGGAATTAGATCTAATTATACAACATCCCCAGTGAGAACAATACTTCAATCTTCTTTGCACAAGGAAGGAAGAAAGCAACACATCTCTCTGAGGTGGGAAAGGTATACTTTGAAAGCTGAGCAAGGTTTAACTTCATCTGTAAATTCTAATCCAGATGTGAAATTTCAAAAAAGAGAAGAACAAACAAAGTCAACCAAGAGACCTGCAAACCTCTCTAGTTTTTGTTTTAACTGAATTAAAACAAAAAAGAACCAGAAGAACAATCCCAAGAAGAAAATCACCTCCCCAAAACCACCCAAATGTTCAGAGCTTATCTTCTGCAGAAAATGCTGTCACAAGTCACCCCAGTTACTGGATTTCTTTCCTTATCAGCATCTGGACACTTACTGCTCCAAGAATGCCAATGCCACTGGATACTCAGAGCCAGTGATCCTGTAACTTGGCATAGTGCTCTCCATAGTACTCCTTCTATCTTCCCTTATTGCATGGCAGCAGAAAAAGCAGATGGAGAGTTTCCTTCTGAACATCCCATGGCCAAAACATTATAAACCCTCAGCAATTCTGTGCACCCAGCTTTATATCCTACTCTTATCCAAGCAAGCCTTTAGGAACACTTGATACAAACAGTTTCTGCTGTAATGTCCCAACCAAAAAAATAAGTATTTTTAACTTATTTAATATTTTGACTATAAAATATGAGTTAAATAGCAGCTTAAAATTTTCTTCTTCATTGGCAATCAGAAACAACTGAATTCAGAGCACACACAGCAGCATTTAGACTTGTACACCTTACTTCCATCTATAAACTGTCCTAAACTCCAGTTACAGTATTACCCAAACTAGAAAATCCTAATTTTTAATCTTAAACTCCACAAGATGCCTTTATCTTTTCACAATGAATAACATTTTTTATGTAAATACTTCAAGCCAATGGAACAGCTGAAAAATAAAGACAGTGACTGAACAATAAGCTACACAGGCAAATGGAGCCACATCTACTGAACTTTGAAAATCTAGGAACTTCAATATCACAGACACATTGCATGCAACAATATAAGATTTCTACTTACTTCCTCATTAAATAATTTGCTAGTTTCTTTTTTAATAGGATCTATAAGTTGGACCTGGCCTGCAGAGAAGCCCACTAGAAGAGACACACTTTCTGCTGTGGCTGTTAAGTGATTGAAGTCATGGCATGTAGGCTGTGTTCCTTTGTATATCCTTTTGTCTATTGGTTTACTCAAGTCCGCAGCCTGCAAAGAGAGCAAACAGAATTCAGACAGTTTATCACAATATGTGCACATAACCACATCTGTTTGAAAACAAACCACATAACAATTTATGCAGTCACAAAACCCCACTTTAAAAAGCAGTTCTGCATTTATGAGACATCTGAGATGTTACAAAAATGTTTCTCTCTTTATATTAAGTATACAAACTACACCTGCCCCTGTACCTACAGCATGTGACAAACCCGTGACAACCATTCCATAGCACAAAGGCTCCGGTGAGTCCTCAAGATGCCAGAAGGCTTCTCCTGCCACAAGAGCCATCACAGAGACAAGGTATCTTCTACTTTTCTAGTAGCACTTTCCCACTATTGAGTACAATCAGTTTTGCATTAAAAATACCATATTCTCAATCACACAACTCTTCAACTCTATCCTTCAACAGGCAAACAAATGATATTGTTCTCCATAATCACAAAAAATGATCAACCAGCTCCAAAAAGAGCATTTTCTAGGAACAGTGATTCAAGATACTGATACTGTGATTATAAAACACATTTTACACCAGTGAGCTACAAAGTAATTTGCTTCTGAAAACAAAGCTCAATATAGCTCAGACAAAATAAGTGATAACAAAACCGAGGAATTTCAATATAAACAAATTAAGATCTAGCACTAAGTGTCAGAAGAATCAAAAGGAACAGAAAAGCAATTTAAAATGCTCCCTCACTTGTATCAACCATGTTTATCCCCATATCACTTCTGAACAGACAACTAAATCTTTCATCATCCAGAGATTAAACCCCACACATTTAATATGCAAGATCATACATCAGGTTCAACCTTGTTTTTTAACCTCCCTATTTACTAGGTTCAAAGTCTGTAATTAGAAAGCCGCAGATACTCAACAATATTACAGGCCTCAGACGTAGCTGTGATTTGGGGCTCAGATTCTAATTTTGATATATACTTTTTCAGTATATTTAGTCAGAGGAAATCAGGCCAGCAATAAAAGAGAAAGTAAACAAGCTTCACATAAAATAGAATTGCTCCAGAGCATTAAACATTGGAGGACAAGGAATGAAGAGCAGCAGATCTTTGGTATTCATAAAGCTACACAGTGAGAAACTAGACTTGTCAGTAGGGAAAAATCCTAACCAGCTACACAGGTGAGCCATTTCCAAGGCAAATTTAACTACAGGATATGCATGACAAGCATTTATACACAACAATATTAAAGCTGCACTTATGTTTTGCAGCATATATCATAAACCAGTTTATTCAGGTGCAAGGCCTCCTACTTAAAAACTCCAAAATGAGATGATGTATTACAATTTCTAAAGTCAGCAGACTAAAAAGTCATTCCCCAGAGTCCAGAGATCCATTTTAAGCTGAAAGAGAATATTACGAATACCTCTTCAAGGAGAAATTAAATGGAATACTAGCTCTACTGGGAGATGGCAGGATAATGTGCATGCCTGCCACAGAGCATTCACCAGCTCACAGGCTGATGGAAATCTATGATTTGAAGTTGAAAGATCAAATCCTAAAGGTCTTGCAGTTACATCTTAGACTGTGTAACATTCCCTTGTCCTGTATCACTATAAACAAGTGTTGGCAAGAGAGAACTCTCAGAACTGGGGTAGCATTTCTATCTGGAAGAGCAAGCTACACAACCATATAGCCATGCCCCAAATAAAGCAGAATTAAAGCAAACCTATGAGACTCAAAGTTCTCTCCTCTGGACAGAAGTTGCAGCAGGACTCAATGCCTAAGAAAAATGATCCATTCAAAAGTAAATATGACTAGGCCTAAATCATACTGAATGACCAGAGAACCTCAGACTGTCCCAGCCAGCAGAGGATACAGGCACTACCACCTTCTTCTGAATCCTCATTGTCCCTTTACGCAGCAAAGAATCAATAGGTGGCTATGTTCAAACTATACCTTGCTCTTTTGTCTGGGTGAGATTTTACATCACTAGCTTTGGTTTTTGTTGCCCAACAACTCTGGTTGTGACAAGTTCCCCATCTCATGAAATTGTGTGGTAACAGACCTAGCAACACATGAAATTCTGATAAATTAAACCTAAGCACAGACTTCACTGTGCTTATTCTAGCTGTTCTCTGGGAACCAGATGGCAGTGAGAATCTGTCTGAACTTAAACGAAGTATAAATAAACTAATTCAACCCAGAATTAACCAGGCTTCTACTGACAGGGATGCCTTGCCTTTTATTTACATGCAGCTATTGCTTTCAGTTACAGCACAGTTGTCTCATGGAGGTAAGTCAAATCTACAAGCACTAAAGTACTGCTTTGGTCTAAATCTCTCTTCACTGAAAGAGAGTAGAATCAATGGACACAGGAACTAGGAGACATTTTCTTTATTTCTGCATGAAGGTTGCTATTGGATTTTGCTAAGAACAAAAGTGCTTACTCATAAAATTCAATCACACATAGGGACTCGGTGTTTCATCAGCTCATCACTTAGCCCATTTGCTATTTTGTGAAAGATGTGATTCTCAGAGGAAAGCTTTTACATGAGATCTTGTCCATAAAAAAACTGTCAAATCCTAGGATCTGTCACTCTTTACTGAACAAGGTGTTATGAACTGCCCCCCACTTAGAAATGTGATGTACTTTGAAAAAACTCAGAAAAATCTTGAGACTAAGTGTTGCCAGGCATGGAGATTAAAAGCACAGAAGCAGACACCCTCACCATGGCAGCTGGCAGCAAGCTATTTGCACACTTCCTGTCCCAATGCCTTTAAAATTTTCTTCTGAAAAACACTCAGCATTATCCCAGCCTGTCCACTCTGAGAAGCTTCCTCAATTGTGGATGATTCATGATGAGAGCAACACTTTCAGTAAGCACAACTGCAAGCAAATTGGAGCAGCTGATGCAAGGCAAGGAATACCAAGAGCATCCTTACCTGTGCAAGCCTTGAAGTACATTTCAGCTATCACGGCTCTGGGACTGGCACCTTGGCCAACTGATATCCGTGCTGGAAGTCTGTTCCTTCCAACATACAGGGGCACTGTACCCCCTGGGCAAAGAGCCAAGGAGTAACAGTTTTTGGGCAACAACAGGAACCTCACACACCTGTATAAAGCCAGTGACAGAGCTGAACAAAATTGCTGTAACTTGGGCATCAACAGCTTCCAAGTCCTGTCTCTGAAGAGGTTAAAACTCTACCTTAAAAGAACCTCACACTTGCTCACAGAAGAAAAATTGATTGTTTAGGTTTGTGTGATGAAATCATACTCTAGAAATAAAACATGAACCATATAACTGTTTGGGGGACTTCCTATTCTTATTTAGTTAACTCTCCCAGCACACTATTTTAACAATGCTACTCCCACTCCGCTGGGGAGGGAGGGAAAAAAAAATAAAAATCTAACACTCTAACAGCCCATTCACCCTGGACTGATGACTTCCAATAGAAGGGCAGTCAAATGGAACATATTAATCACAGCTTTAACTACATAAAGAAAAAATGGCAGGACAAACCCAACAAAAAACAGTCACCTTAGTCTGAAGCAAATTTTAAGTATTCAGATTCTGATGTCTGAAATATCTGATTAGGATGGGCATCAATAACCTTGGTTCTGTAGCTATGTGTAATTCTAAGGTCAAAGCCAAAGATTAATGTCTAGCCAAGATTTATTTTATTGATCCAAGACTTAGAGGTTTCATAATAAGATTGCCTAAACAGTGAATCACATTATTTTAAGTCAGGTTTAATCACACTCCTTGACATATGTTATTTCTTCCTGTATCTTTTCTTTTCCTAACTTGCATTTGCAGCTTTCTGCAAATTTTACTTGAATGAAATCTGTCATATATGTTAGAATTCTTTCCAAGCTGAAAACATTGCCAAGATATTAAATTAATTACTTTATTAATTTATTCCAGGTAATTTCAATTGTATTCATGAAAAGGCTTCCATTAGGTACTTAGTAGTATTTAATATTACATTTGCCAAGAGACTGCCTTTCAATGGGTCAAAGCTGTGAGATTGAGACAGAATAGTGAAGCATTTAATAAAAATTTTACTGCCAAAAAATTATCTTAAGAAAATCTCTCTTGTCCAGAGAATTAATTGATCTTGAACAGATTACAGATTGGCTATGCAGGTACAGCTCTAGTGCACAATGAAAGAGAAGACACACAGAACCAAGACAATGTACTTTTGAAAACAATTTCCTCTGTGTTTCTGCAGCTTGGAATTTGTAACTGACTACCTGTAACTTGCTATCTCTTCCTCACCTTACTGTCCAGGGATTTTATGGTCCCTGGTCTAGAAACAGAATGATTTGAGAAAGCTGTGCTTAATGCTTGTGTCATAATGCTGTACAGGTAACAGAAGAAATCAATTCTTAGAATTATTACTAAGTGAATTTCTTTGAACTTCACAGATGCTCTTTAAAACTTGGCTGAAAAAGAGGCAAGGCAACCTTTTCTGGAGCCCTCTGCTTTATACAATCTCCTGTGAACAGGACAGAACCCTCCCTGACTTGCTCACTGCATTAGCAAGGACAGGGAAAACTAAATTTGTTTATTCCTCCTCCATGTCTGTGCTCGTCTCCTCCTTCCTGACGAGCCAGCCCAAGGACAGGGACCAATGAGGAACACAAGAAAGTGGAGCTACTCCAGGCATTTCTGTAGAATTTTCTGGCCAGCTCCATTTCTTGTTTCTGTTCACAACTTTCTGACAGTAATACCAGCATCAATACTTCACATTCTACTTTATTACCACAGAAGTGGACTTCCAGATTTTTTTGTTTTATAGCCCAAATACAGATCACTTAATATTAGCAACAGAATAATTTCTAGTTACATCACTGTTGTTTCAAGCTGATCTGATCTCACAGCTGACCCTGCTTGGGGCAAGTTAGACTAGAGACTCTCAGAGGTTCCTTCCCACCTGAACAGCCCTGGAATCTTAAGCTTAGGATCAATCAAAACAGCAGCAACAAGGCCACTCCCAGATTACTTAACAGGTCTGGTTTGCATCTTAAA